ACGGAGGAGGGGACGGAGGGGACGGAGGGGCGGGCCTCGAAGAGGACGACGCCGAGGGACCAGATGTCCGCCTCGAAGCCGTCGTAGCACACGTCGGCCGACTCAGAGTCGACAACCTCGGGCGCCACGTAGCCTGCGGACCCCACGAGTCCGCGCAGCCGGCTCCGGCCGTGCGCCGAGGGGGGCGGGGCGGCGAGGGCCGCCGCGAGGGGGGCGACCTTCTCGACAGGTAGCACGCCCTCCTTGTGCAAGTACGAGAGCCCAAAGTCGACGAGCTTGGCCGAGCAGCCGGCATAGGAGGCCCCGCGCTTGCCGCCTTTGCCCTTGGACGCCAGCAGGATGTTCTCGAGCTTGATGTCGAGGTGGGCGACGCCGCACGAGTGGACGTGCGCGAGCCCCGCCGCCACACCCGCGAATAATGCGCGCGCGGCCTCCTCACTCAGCGCGCCGCAACGACTGATGTGGTCGAATAGGTCGCCGCGCGCCCTCTCCATCACGATGGCGTAGCTGCCCTCCGTGGCGACCCTGAGCCGGCTGCTGTCCTCGAGGAGCGCCTCCGCCGAGCCGTGCGCATGCAACGCGATCACGTTCGGGTGAGGGCAGCGGCTCAGCCTCTCGAGCACCTTGGCCTCTCGTACCAAGTCCTGGTGGTTCGAGCGCCGGTTGGAGAGCTTTATGGCGACCCTCTCGCCGGTTCGGAGGTTTTTCGCGGGCAAGACCGAGCCACAGGCACCGGCGCCAAGCGGAGCGTGGCCGCCGAGCCGGAAGGGCGAGACGGGCTCGGGCTTCTCGCGAGCGGGAGGAGAGCCCCTTGGCGAGGCTGGCCACGAAGGAAACAAGGTGGCGATGAGGCGACGTGAAGAGCTCCGGTCCTGAGTGTTCGCAAATGACATGGAGTTGCAAGCAGGGCGGCTCTCCGGCAACTCAGTCGGCATCCCCAACACGCGGCGGCTCAGTCGTTGGCGATTACGTCACGGCTTCTCTTTTTCTTATTGTGGCATGCCCGGAGCAGGTGTTAATTTTTTTCCTTTCGACCCGGCCAGGTAGGGTTCCAGCTTTTTCCGGGGTATGGTATGGTAGTGTCGCGCATGCCAGCTCAAGACCATACCCCCCCGCCTGCTGGCAGACCTGCTTGGGGGTATGGTAGGGCTAGTCTTGGGCGGGCAGGACCATACCCCCTACCCCTTTGGGCCGCGACCATACCATACCATACCATATTACCATACCGTACCCCGGAAAAGTTGGAAACCAGGTCCCGGGCGCTAGCGTTGCCGGATTCCTGCACAGGCGAACCTCTCCCGAAAGCAAGCAGTACAACTAGCCAAGGAGCGGTTAGCGTTGGTGCCAACTAATCGCATGCACATCCTCGGCGGCGGCGCCCTCGGCACGCTGTGGGCTGCGCATTGCCCCGCCGCCACGCTGCTGCTCCGGGAGGGCACCACGGCGCTGCAGGCCAGCCGGCTGCGCCTGCGTGTCCACCGCCTGCGTGCAGGAGAGGCGGCCGGCCCGGTAGACGAGGCACTCGAGGCGTGCGTGCGGCTCGAGCCGTCCTCCGGCAGCGCGACGACACCGATCGGGACGCTCGTCATCGCTACCAAGGCCTATGGCGCCGCCGCCGCACTCGAGGGAGTACGGTTGCGCCTCCAGCCCGACGCTACAGTGCCTTGATACGTCATCCGCCCATCATTCCGAATCAACCATAGATCGCGCCTCCAGTCCGACGCGGTGGTGGTGCTTCTGTGCAACGGCGCTCTCAGCCTCGCCGACTCGCTGCAGCTGCCCGCGGGCGGCGCACTGCTCGTGGCGACGACGACGCACGGCGCCTGGCTCCACCCCCCCCGGCAGGAAGGCTTGCGAGAGGTGCAGCACGCCGGCAGGGGCACGACGTGGGTGGGGCCGCTGCTGCCGCTGCGGGCTGGCGGCGGCGGCGGCGGCGGCGGCGGCGGCGGCGCGGCCAGAGTGGCCGGAGTGCCCGAAGTCACGAGTTCCTCTTCCGCCGAGCTGGCAGCGGCTCGCTTCGCAGCGGCGGGCCTCGGCGCCGTCGTCGAGGGGGCGTAAACGGCGGCTCTTCACACCTCTAGCTGTGAACAGGCGGGCCTCGGCGCCGTCGTCGAGGGGGGCGGCCAGACGAGCCGGCGGTTGTGGGAAAAACCCTCCCCAACACCGGATTTACCCTTTAGACCCGGGGCCCGGTTTCCCCCTCCTTGGGAATTCCCGGGGGGGTGTTCTCCCCCCCCCGCTTTGGGGGCCCCCCCCCCCCCCCCCCCACACCTGGTAGGTGCTCAACCCGCTGACCGCCCTGTGGAATGTCCGAAACGGGGAGGTGCTGCGCCGGCCCGACGGGCGACGGATCGCCGCCGACGTCTGCGCCGAGATTGCCCAGGTCTAAAAGTAGACACCGAGGGAAGAGGGGGGGGGCACGCACGCGCAGCACACCAGGGCGAGGGACTGCAAGCACAATTCCCAACGCCGCGGGGCCACACGCACACATGGCGAGACACGGCCGATGGACTGGCGCCGACACCCGCCTCGATCGGCAACATAACAGGTCTGCGCCGCGGCGCCTCCGGCGGCGGCCACGCCGTCCCCGTCGGCGCGGGAGCTCGAGGCGTTCGTCGAGGACTGCGCGTCCGAGAACGCCGGCAACTGGAGCTCGATGCACCAGGACTTGCACCACGGCCGGCGCACCGAGGTGCAGCAGCTGGAAACAGACCACATAGGGATCGTCGCTTCACCCCCCCCCCCCTATTTTCGCCTAGGTGGAGCACCTGAACGGCTGGGTCGCCCGCCGCGCGCGCGAGCTCGGCACGCGCGCCGAGGCGAACGACGCGCTGGCGGAGCAGATGCGGCGGGCCGAGGCGGCGAAGGGGCAGACGGGGGGAGGAGGGGAGTGGCGGGTAGAGCGGACTAACTAACGCGTGTCAGCCGAGGTTCCGATGACGGTGAGTAATCTCGGCCTGTTGTGTGTTCAGTGATTCTCCTTGTGCAAAGACCGCCTGGACGACCGGGCATGGACCAAGCACACCGCATGGTCATGGACGTCGAGGACCTCGAGGTGTCGTAAACGGTAAAGGGTCGTGTGACACACGTGTGGAGGGTGAGAGTTGACCAGGGGGTTGTGCGCCGGGCCCGCGGGCCCTCCTGCTCGGCTCCAGCCGGTAGACAAGTGTTGTCATCAACAGAGTAGAAGGATCTGCCACCTCAGGGCTGATCGGTAACCAAGCGCCCGGTGACTAGTTGCAAAAAGTCTGTGTATCGCGCGCCTTGCGGGGGGCGCGCGGAAAAGAGGAACCGATCGACAGCGATCTGGCTACTCTGTTCACGTTCACACCTCGTAAACCCCCATAACCCCGATACTCGCATAATGTGGGTAAACGAAAAAAGTAGCGCGCAATTCGTCTACGTACGGCTTAGTGTGTGGTTGGGGTGGCCTCAGGCATCCCCAAGGGAGCCTCTGCGGTGCCACATAAGCAGCTGAGTGATTGTCGAGACTTTAAAGGATTCGTTTGAAGAAACGCAAACAAGACAAACGGTACTCTATGGTCACCAGTAAACGAAAATTCGACTTTGAGGGATCATATCTCAAAAGGCTGGGTGAGAGCATAGCATTATTGTTGCATATTATACCACATAAGGTCAAACTTGACCCCAGAAGCATCAAGAACCCGATGCTCCGGCTCGACTGTGCCGGCACACTGCCTCCTCGCGCACGCTGCTCGCAGGCCGTTGCGGCCCGTGGTGCACCAGAGAGAGAGGTCGACGCGTTGCCCCCGCCGGCGACCCCGCGCGGCTCAGGCCAGCCAGAAGGTGTGTGGTGACGGCACCGTGGCAGGAGTGCGGAGAAGAGCTCGCCGAACGCGAGCAGCAGATGGCCAAAGTGTGCCAGCGCGAGAGCCTCGCGAGCGGGCGCAGAAGGAGCTCGCCGTGACACGATGCCGGGCGGTGGTGGTGCTCTGGCGACTGTGCACAGTGGGCAAAGTCAGGCTGCAACAGGGCAGCACGTTGGTAGTGCCCTGCTGCAGCCTGGCCTGACATGCACAGGGCGAACAGAGGCGGTACTATCGTCCGGCGCTCGTCACCGAATCTGGGCGAACTTCGACCGCCGCCACAGCTCACCACGAGCACGCAGCGACAAAATGTTGACTGTACGGAAGTCGAGGCTGGTCCATAGGAAGAGGCTGCCGTGCGAGCCGGCAGCTGGCTGGCTCGTCGTGGACTGCCGCGGCGACTTTTTTCGGTGTCTTTCTTGATAGTACCGAATACGGTACTTTCGTTTACCCACACTCTGCGAGTAGAGGTAGAGCCAAGGCCCCACGGCTTCTCCCTTTGGCGGCTCCCTCCGAACCTGGTGTGTGGCGCCGCCGGGCCGACACCGATGCCCTCGTGGTGGAACTGGTGGCGCTCCGACGATGACAAGAACGCCGATGTCGAGGCCCGTCCCTGCAGGGACGGGCCGTGCCGTCACGAAGTACAGCTCCACTTCAAGCCTCCCACTCCCTGGGACTACTCGAAGTCGCTGATCAAAGCGACGGCAAGCTACTGGGCTATTTTCTTTGCCCTTTACTGCCTCTCACTCGGGACGGTGCTCTCGGAGCAGGGACAGATCGACGCCTACTGCGATTACAATGAGGGAAACCCGGAAGGAGCGATCAGACTCACTTTTGGTGCCTTCATCGGTTTTGCGCTGTTTCCGCTCATTCTCTACACGTGGACCATCCTTTCCAACGAAGAGAACTGCTACCGTCGGTGGGCCTACTACCGTCTGATGGAGTATGGTATCATCCTCGACTTCAAAAACCGCGAGGGCTGGAAGTTGACCTTAAGGAAGTCAAAGATCTTCTTGTTCGCGTTGGTTATGTCTGTTTTGTTGGTGGGTTTCGTTGGCGCCTCGGAACCGATGGTGCTGGTCATCGTCGTCCCCCTTCTCTACAAGCTCGGTGAGCACCTTACATCCGACAGGGCCTTTGAATCCCAAGAGCTAATCACAGTCGCCAAATTCGTTGAGCCTGGCGATGGACAGGAAAGGCGCTCTGAGGACAACATCGAAAGGGCGTGCAAAATTCTCACGAAGTCCGAGTTCATGGATGAGGACGAGCTCAAATGGCACGTGATTGGCTGCAAACTCACCAAGACGAAATTTGACTGGGCAACCGTCGGCCAGTTTGGTTACACCGAGGATTGGGTGAAGGAGCATCCCGATTTCCGAGACTGCTCGTTCCCGAGGACGCCGTATAGCTACTGGGGCAGCCACATCGACAGCAGGGAGGAGAAAGACCAGCAATTTGTGAGGACATTGAGGAAGTGGAAGAATCTCTGCCTGATTGCAGTGTTCTTTCTCGAGGTGGCTGGGTTCGTTTACGCAAAAGATTGGGCAAAAGAAAATGGAGTCGACACCACATTGGTGGCGCTTTCCGCGTCCACTCTGGACCGCGTGGACTGCAACGATCGAAGCATTACTACGCTCTCGCCGCTGTCACTGTTTCCGCCACCTCCGCCGCCGTCGCCATACCCACCACCTCCGCCACCAGTAGAGATCGCCTTCGCAATCTCCACTGGCGAGACCTGTGGTGCCTTCCTTGATGGCATGGAGGTTCTCAAAGCTGGCTACACCGCGGGAGGCGCCCCATTCTATCGCAATCCATCGTCATCGTACTTCATCTACTGGGACCCCGACTGTGATGGAAACGGCCAAGCGCCGGCTCGCTGGATTGTGAACAGCGTCGCCCCCAGCACCTCCGCTGTAAACGACCTCGATGGTGACGGAGAGTGTGCCTACTGGGCCCGAATCAACTCTGACGACATTTCATCGCCGCCGCTCGGCATGGCCACTTGGCGGCTTCTTTGCGACGGCACCTGGACGGACATCGATCTGACCCTCGCTCCGCCGATCATGGGCTAAAGCTGACAGAGCTCGAGGAGACAGTGTAACATTGCCGAGGCCTTCTCCGCCTTCGAGGAGACAGTCTAATATAACATTGCTGAGGCCTTCCCCGCCTTCGAGGAGACAGTGTAATGCTGCCAAGACCTTCTCCGCCTCCGAGGACGGTGTAACATTCCCGAGGCCTTCTCCGCCGTCGAAGGGGAGGCCTAGGGGGAGGGGCAGCCCTCGCCTGAGGGAGGGTGTAGAGGATGTAGAGTGTAGAGCGCTGTAAGTGTTCATCCCAGCCCATGCTGTTACTGTTTGTTACTGTTGTTACTGTTGTTCAGCGGCCAGCAAGCAGAAAACGGCAAAAAACCCGGGTAAAACCCGAGAATACCCGGGATTTTCCAGGTATTTTCGGGTATTACCCTCACTGGACGCTGGAGATCGTCGTGGGTCACTGCCAGGCCTTCCTTATTGTTGTTCAGCCGGCCTAACGTTAGCGGGGAGCCCAACTGTTGTTCTGTTGTTACTGTTAACACTAGCAACACTGTTCAGCTCTCGTTAACGTTTGACAGCTCTAGGCGGCGTAAGGCGCGCGATACACACTCTACCCACGCGCACCGGGCCTTGCACTTTGAATGCCGTGGGGCTCCTGTCGTTAGACGTGGAGACGCGAGGGTTGCCCCCCCTTGCCCCACCACCTCGTGTGTGTGGAGAAGTTTACCTTACCTTACGTGGCTGGGTTCACAGCGATTGTAGGAAAATGACGAAAACACTTGACGGTCGCGGCCTTCCGACTCGCGCCTCCGCCTCACTGGCACTATTGTAGCCCTGGCCGGTGCGCGTGCTCAGTTGAAGTTCCGGAGTAAAAATTCGAACGCGTTCTCTCACGGTGACCAAAAAATGTCCACCTCAGAGGCACCTCCGGAGGCAGGCCGCCGCACGCCGGCGACACAGCTCCAGCTGTCAAACTGACCCGCAGCTCCTCTCAGAGCGGGAACTGTGACGAAAGTTGACTGAGGCGGTTGTCAGGAATCATCATACGGATCACATGGTGGCTCTCTCATGACAGGAGACCGCCCGACCACTCCTGGGTGGCACTGCCACCGGTGTCGCTCGACGTCCTGTCGACAGCGTGCCGACAGCGACACATACCATGTGGGACGCGTCGAGTATCGACCTCTACTGCTTACCCAGCCTTCGAGTGTATCCTGGCTGTGGTCCCACACCCACTGGTGTCCATCTCAGAGACCGCAGGAGGTCATGAGGGTCGATGGGAGTGCCAACCCCACAATGTGCCTAAAAACCCAGCCCAGTACCTTACACACTCTATATAGTATCGATTGTTCTGCGTTTAAAAACCCGCGAGAAAGCCACACATCAAGCAAGACCCACTCGGCCGCAGCGCGGGGCCGCGCCCACGCACCGGACTCGAGAGGCGCTTGCGAGATTTCCCCGCGACATAGTACTCATGCGCACAATTCCGCGGCCCGCCATGCTGTTCTCGTGGTGCGCCCCAAGCGGCACGGCATGCGCAAAGGGGCGACGGCACCGCGCCCGCAGCAAATGTGCACCCCAAAACTCCTCGACCCCGCCCCGCCCCCGCAAGCACCGCCTCTCTCCTAATGTGTCACTCCCCCGCCGCGCAGCCGCGCCGTCAGCGCAGCTTCCGCGCCATCCGCGCCGTCTCCGCACCGCACCGTCCGCGCCGTGTCCGCGCCGTGTCCGCGCCGTCAGCGCTGGGGCAGCGCCGCCTTTGTGGCGGGGCAGCGCTTGAGGAGCTTGGCCTGGATGCGCTTTCCGTACAGGGTCGAGCGGAGGGTGGGCAGGTGCGGCGTGATCTGTGCGACGAGCAGGGCGACCACGTCGTCCTTGCCGACGGTGAGGAGGGTCTGGATGACATAGTTTGCGAACGGGTCGTGCAGCAGCGTGGCGAACGCCTCGGACGCGGTCAGCTCGTTGGCGACCACCGCGACTGCGGTCGGGTCGCCCGACTTGAGGCACCTATGGGGAGAGATGGGGGGATATGGGGGAGAGAGGAGGGAGAGATGGGTCGCCCGACGTGGGGCACTTTTCGATCACGTTGGAGGAGAACTTTTGGAGGGAGAGCTCCGCGAAGCCGCCGCGCAGCGCCTGCACGATCGCGTGCGTGAGCGGCGGCTGGCGCAAGTCGAGGATGTACTGCACGACGTAATTGCCTGTTCACAGCTGCAGGTGTGAAGAGACGCTGTTCACAGCCAGAGGATGTACTGCACGACGTAATTGCCAAACGGGTCGACGACGAGCTTGGGCGCGAGCCGCACGACCTCGCCGATGATCTCCTCGCGGTGCGGCGCCGGGGCGTGGTCCAGGCAGCGCTGCAGCACGCAGCAGCCGTGCCGGTGCGTCGCGATGGCGAGGCAATCCGAGACGGCGCGGTCATAGATGCCCGCGGCCAGCTCGGCGGGCAGCGCGGCGAGGCAGCGCTGCACCACGTGGTTCGCGTTCATGTCGCGGATGAGCTGCATGATCGAGGGCAAGAGGGCGGCGCACAGGGCCGACTGCTGGGCGGCACTGTCGGCGCACTCCACCATCTTTTGCACCACGCGCGTCCCGTGCACGTTGAGCGCGACCTGTTCACAGCTGGAGGTGTGAAAGACGCGCTGCTCGCACCACGCGCGTCCCGTGCACGTTGAGCGCGACCTCGACCATCCGCTCGACCGTGCCGTCGATGAGTGCGGCGCGCTGCTCGCCGGTGCCGTACTGCACTAGCTTCTGCACGAGGTAGTTGCCGAACGGGTCCATGCCGAGGGAGACGACGTCCTCCTTGGTCGCCTAGTAAAGTACTGGCCGTTCACTCATTAACGGGTCCATGCCGAGGGAGACGACGTCCTCCTTGGTCGCCTAGTAAAGTACTGGCCGTTCACTCATTAACGGGTCCATGCCGAGGGAGACGACGTCCTCCTTGGTCGCCTCGAAGATGAGGTCGACATGCGGCTTGTGGCGCAAGTCGAGCTGGTCCTGGAAAAAAGAAAACGGGGGGCCGTCTTTCGTGTGTCGGCGTGCGGCGTGCGTGGCGAAGCGGAGCTGGGCGAAAGATGCGGAGAGATGGGAAGAGATGGGGGAGAGATGGCGAGAGAGATGGCGATAGGCCTGCAGGAAGCGGCAGCCGTTCTGCTCGTGGGCGAGCTCGCGCAAGCCGCCCATCTCGTGCGCCTCGTCGACCGTCCGGATCTCGCGCCTACGGGGGGGAGATTGCGGGAGATACGGGGAGATTGCGGGAGATGTGCGACTCGTCGACCGCCGCATCTCGCACCCCCGAAACATCAGCCGCTTCGGGTGGTGGCGCGCCTCGCCGCCGCCGGCGCCGGCCGCGTCGTGCTTGCCGATCTTGCCGCCGCCGCCGCCCATCCAGCCGCCCCCGTGCGGCTGCAGCGGCGGCGGCGGCTTCTGGGGTGCGCCTCCTCCCATCGCCGCCGACATGGCGACCGGGTCCCAGCCGCCGATAGCGGGTAGGGACGAGGGGTGGTACGGGTAGTGCTGCGGCGGCGGCTGCTGCGGCAGCAGGCCGGCGGGCGTGGTTTGCGGGAGGAGGTACTGGGGCATGACGGCGACGAGCTGCGGTACGCCGTTCATGTTCATCATGGCGAGCCCTGTGTGAGTCAAAAAGAGGGCTGGAGGAGAGGGCTAGGGAAAACAGATGAAAGAGAAGGCGAGGCGAGGAGAGAGGAGAGGGCGAGGCGAGGCGAGGCGAGGAGGGGAGAGGCGAGGAGGGGAGAGGCGAGGAGAGGGGGAGGAGAGGGGGAGGCGAGGAGAGGCGCGCGGCGGGCACCGCTGCGGTGTTGCCGAGGCGGCGGCGGGTCGTGCGGGCTGGCCATCGGGCTGAGGCGTGACGGACTCGAGGAGCTGGTGCGACGCCGCGATCGCCGAGTTGAGCTTCTGCAGCATCGAGTCCACGTCGTCAATCGTCGCCGGCGCGGTGTTCGGCCGCTCCATCCGCAGGTGCTGGCGCGGGTCGAGCGCACAGCTGCCGCGCTCGTATTCTAGAGAGGCCATAGGAGGAGGAATGTACACCTGCGGTACGGCCGCGCGTGGAGAGGCGGCCGTCAGCCACCCAACACCCCCAATCGATGCGCCGCAGCAAAGGCGTTCCCCCGGCAACTGTGCGCAGCCGCGCGGGGCAGAGGCAGTGGCGGCGGGGAGCTGGGCGCCACGGCGCGTGGGCGGCGCCGCGCACCGTCGAGAGGACACAAAAAATACACAGGCACAACGAAGCAGTATCGCAGCCGGCCAGCAAGTGCACAGGGGCAGCGAGTGGCCGTGAGACTCGCTCCCGGCCTCGCCGAGGGGCTTCCACAGTTTGCTCTTCACAGTCGGCCACGTACCCCCCACATTTTCTTCGGCGCGCGCTGTGTGTCAGGCGCGCGCTCTAATCCGGATCGATACTCGAGGGGGATATCCAGGGGGGCGTGGCTCTGAGTGGCGCAGTGCCGTACGCTCACTCGGGCGGGATGTGTGGCAGCCCAGCTGGCTGAGTGGAGTGTCTTGTGAGTTTTGTGTGTCTATGTGTCGCCTGTGTGTCGCTTGCGCGTGTCGTCGTCTACGTCTAGCGTGGGGATGATGGTTGTGTCGGCGAGCACTACGGTGTTGGCGGATTCGATCATCTACGACTTCCTGTGAGGAATGACGGCTCCCCCCAGCACTCCCAGGTGCCAAGAGAAACAAACAAGGGCACAACAAACAACAGACAACAGGGGCGAACGCGTGAGGCTAGAGCAGGCTTGCTCCGCCTCTAGCAATCTCCGCCGACCGCGAGGCCGGACTAGACCGTGTGTGGGGTCTTGTGAGGTGTCTCTGGTCACTCTCCTCAGAGGCTAGCCGCCAACCGCTAGCCTTATCTCACACTCACAGGCAATGACAATCCAATGTATGAGTGTATGCAAGCAGAGGCGCGTGTGCCGATTCTAGATCGCACGCCGTGGCATATGACTTGGGAGGCGTGCGACCTCAGCGCGCCCGCGTCACTCCCACAGGGCTCTAGGTCCGAAAACCCTCTCTGTGTATCGCGCCATATCGCCGCGGTAACATGGAGCATGGTCGCCCGATGCAGAGCCTCGGCTTGACCGCGCAGCTGGAGGCGGAGTGGCGGCGCGCCGGCCTCTCCTTCCGCGTGATGCTGGTCGGAGAGAGCGGTACGCTCCGCCTCTCCAAAGCGCCAGAGCAGCAGCAGCGTCCACCGTACCAGACACGAGGCTGGCCGGCCGCCGCCACATCGCCGCCGCTGGCCGTGCCGCCACTGCCCGTTCCGTCATGCCCCTCCATCCCCACCGCCTTCCTGCTGCCGCCGGCCACGCTCCCGCGCAGGCCTCGGAAAGAGCACCTTCACCCGCGCGCTCTTCCGGCCGTTTGTGCCGGACAACGAGCTGTCTGCGAACGACGCGGGGGCGAAGGAGGCGCTGCGCGCGCGGACGACCGAGATCCGCGAGGTTGTCTTCACCGTGGAGAACGACGGCTTTCCGATCGAGTTTTCGGTCGGCTGCCCCCGGGCTATAGCGTGCGCGAGATTGGGCGAGATGACGCGAGATTGCACGAGATTAGGTTGTCGACTGCCCCGGCTACGGCGACTCTGTCGACTCGACCGAGTGGATCGACTCCATCGTCGGTGGCCCTAGAAGCGAAACACGTATTATTCATGCCTCCCAACCAGCACTCGAGAGGACACGTCTTCCGCCGTATTCGGTCGTATTCGGCTGTAATCACTGTCTTCCTCTCCGTTGTACTCACGCGGTGCTCTGAACACACTGCACACTACCGTACTCCCGCCTTGAGGTTGGCGTTTTCTGCTTCTAGGTCGGAGACATCACACGCCGCTTCGCCTCGCACTACGACAGTAACCACGCCTCCGGCTCCTAGAAGCGGGAATATCTCCCCACATCTCCCCACGCATCTCCTCGGAGTGCACGGCGCTCTGAAGACTCTGCACGGTACCGTCCTCCCGCCCCGAGGTTGGCGTATTCAGCACCTATATCTTCTTCGGGAAAAGAAATCACACCATAAAAAGAAATCACACATATATTCAGCGCGTAGGCTTCGGGCGCCTCCGTCGGCAACGGGCTGCAGCGCGACGGCATGGTGCACGCGTGCCTCTACTTCATCGCCGCGCACCGCCTCAAGGGCGCCGACATCGAGTTCATGAAGCGGCTGCAGCCGTACGTCAACATCGTGCCCGTGATTGCAAAGAGCGATACTATGACCGTCGGTCTGTCTCCCCATATCTCCCCATATCTCCCCACATCTCCCCCACATCTCCCCCAGATCTCCCCCATATCTCCCCCACATCTCGCCACATCTCCCCATACCTCCCCAGATCTCCCCCAGATCTCCCGCATATCTCCCGCATATCTCCCCGTGTAGGAGAGAGGGACGCGTTCCGCCGCCTCATCCTCTCGGAGCTCAAGGCGAGACTCGCCGAGATTCGCCGAGATTGGCGCGAGATCGCCTCATCCTCTCAGAGCTCAAGGCGGCGCACCCACGGAGGTCTGAACACGCATGCGTGTACTCCAACCAGCGCTCGAGCGGACACAAAGCCGATGTTCGAGCTCGCGCCGCCTCCAGCCAATTAATTAATTGATTAATTGTTAATTAACTAGGCGGCCCGTGTGTCGATGTTCGAGCTCGCGCCGCCTCCAGCCAATTAATTAATTGATCAACTGTTAATTAACTAGGCGGCCCATGTGTCGATGTTCGAGCTCGCGCCGCCTCCAGCCAATTAATTAATTGATTAATTGTTAATTAACTAGGCGGCCCGTGTGTCGATGTTCGAGCTCGCGCCGCCTCCAGCCGTCGCCTCCCCTCCCCCCTCTGCTCGCGGCGCCGCCTCAAAGAAGGGCGCGCCCATCCCTCCCCATATCTCCCCATATCCCCCCCACATCTACATTTCCCCCATATCTCAAAGAAGGGCGCGCCCACGCCGCCGCCAGCACGTATTTCCACCCCAATCCCATCCCACGCCACTCCCTTCTCTTCTGTCCTGAGCGATGCCATCGCACTCACATTGCACGCACGCGTAGGCGCCCCCACGCCGCCGCCCTCGCCGCCCTCGCGCGCCCCGCTGGGCGAATTCGGGGAGCGCATCCTCTCTAGCGTCATCGCCCAAATTAACTCTTAATCAACCCTAATTAACTCTTAATTAGGAGCGGATCCTCTCTAGCGCCTTCCACCCACATCTCCCCAGATCTCCCTCAGATCTCTAGCGTCATCCAATATAGCCTCATATCTCCCCATATCTCCCCATAGGAGCGGATCCTCTCTAGCGTCATCCCCCAAATTAACTCTTAATCAACCCTAATCAACTCTTAATTAGGAGCGGATCCTCTCTAGCGTCATCCCCCCGCCCTCCGCGCCTCCGCCCAAGCCGCCCGCCGCCTCGTCGACGCCCGCTCAGCGCGGCGCGGCGCTGGCCCACGGCAACACGTCGCCGCCGCCGTTTGCGGTGTGCGCGTCGGAGGGACTCGCGTGTGCCCAGGTCATCCCTCATTGACTCCTAATTACTCATGAGTTAGGTGTGCGCGTCGGAGGATGGGACTCGCGTCTACCCGTGGGGGGTGGCGTGCGCGGAGGACCCGACCCACTCGGACCTGTCCACGTTGCGCGCGATGCTCTTCGCCGGCTCGATGCTGTCGGCCAAGCGCGCCACGTTGGGGCTGTACGAGCAGGCGTACGCGCGGCGGCGTGCGGCGGACGAGCGATCGCAGCAAGAGCGCGAGGCGCGCGCGCTGTCGCGGCAGGCGCAATGTCCCCACATATCTCCCGCACATCTCACCATATCTCCCGTATGTCTTACCATATCTCCCGCATATCTCCCGCATATCTCCCGCATATCTCCCGCGTATCCCCCCATATGTGTCTCCGCATATCTCCCCACGTATCTCCGCATATCTCCCTACATCTCCCCACGTATCTCCCCACATCTCCCCACGTATCTCCGCACATCTCTCCCTCTGTTGCGGCAGGTCTTTGCCGCCAAGACGATCGCTGCTGTCATCACTCTCGGTGTCGCCGTTGGCCTCGCTGCCTCTGCCGCCCCCGCCGCCGCTGCGACGGTAGTGGCGCACGCGCAGAGCGCCGCCAGCGCCGCCGGCACCGCCGCTTTGCGGGCGGCGTCGACAGGGGCGACGGCGCTGGCGCAAGCGGCTCGCAAGCGAATAGCGGCGAAGAGCTAGCGCGGCCGCGGGCGGCGGTGGGCCGGAGGAAGGGAGGGTGGGGGGGGGGTGAGAAGGGGGGGGGGGCAGAGGGCAGGGGCTGGCGGAGGGAGGAGCGGCAGCTCAGGCCTGGCAGGTGGGCGGCAGGGGGGCGGGCGGGTGCGCAGCGGCGGCTGAGGACGGCGACTGAGAACGGAACGGCTGTGTTGGCCAGGCGTCTGGGCCAAGGGGGGTCTATTCGCCCGCGGCCGTGCCCGGTGTGTGAGTGGAGAAACGGTCCCTATAGTCGCGCGGTCAATCGCGATGATTACGTGAAGGTGGAGGAAGGTGGGCTCAAGGCAATGATAAGAAAAGTCTCGATTCAGCATTCACGGCTCGCTAACCACTATATACTTTAAGTGGGTTGTTGCACGAGTATATGCTCGTCTGGGACACGATGTCTCAAATATGAGGGGTTTTGCGGAGTCCTACCGCGTACCGGCTCCTGACGCTATCCCTGGCAGAGGGGTGAACTGGGCACACGCGAGTCCCGTCCTCCGACGCGCACAACCTAATTCATGAGTAATTAGGAGTCAATGAGGGATGAACTGCGTGGGCACACGCGAGTCCCTCCGACGGCACACCTAATTCATGAGTAATTAGGAGTCAACTGAGGGATGAACTGGGCACACGCGAGTCCCTCCGACGCGCACACCTAATTCATGAGTAATTAGGAGTCAGTGAGGGATGAACTGGGCACACGCGAGTCCCTCCGACGCGCACACCGAATTCATGAGTAATTAGGAGTCAATGAGGGATGAACTGGGCACACGCGAGTCCCTCCGACGCGCACACCGCGAACGGCGGCGGCGAAGTGTTGCCGTGGGCGAGCGCCGCGCCGCGCTGAGCGGGCGTCGACGCGGCGGCGGGCGGCTTGGGCGGAGGTGCGGAGGGCGGGGGGATGACGCTAGAGAGGATCCGCTCCTAATTAAGAGTTGATTAGGATTGAGTGAGAGTTATGTTGGGGGGTTGCGCTAGAGAGGATCCGCTCCTATGGGGAGATATGGGGAGATATGAGGCTATATTGGATGACGCTAGAGATCTGGATTTAGCCCACGCGCCTCTGCTCGCAAACACTCACCCATTGAATTGTCACTGCCCGTGAGTAAGGTAAGGTAAGGTAAGGTAAACTTCTCCACACACACGAGGTGGTGGGGCAAGGGGGGGCAACCCTCGCGTCTCCACGTCTAACGACAGGAGCCCCACGGCATTTAAAGTGCAAGGCCCGGTGCGCGTGGGTGAGCGGTGTGTGTGTGTGTGTGTGTGTGTGTGTGTGTGTGTGTGTGTGTGTGTGTGTGTGTGTGTGTGTGTGTGTGTGTGTGTCACGTCACTGCATCCTCTGCCGGTTCCTCCCGTCGCCTCTTCTTTGTTCGAATGTTTTTCAATCCATCCTTCACGAAGCCCTCCCATGTAGCTAGCGTTCTTTGCGAATGTCTCGAGATGGCCAGCAGGCGCTGTCTGCTCGCGGCCTGTGCGGGCCGCTCGTCCTCCTCGCCCTTCTTTCGTCCTCCCGTCCCTCCCCTCCACCATGGCCTCCTCGGCACTTCTTTCTCCATCCGCCTTGCCCTGCCTTTTCGTATTGTGCCGTTCGCCCTCCATTCGGTGACCTCCATGGCTGTCCGGCTCCTTTTGGGTGGCGCTCTCGATACCGTTGCGTCAACCTCGACGTCGCTGTCGCCCTCCCCGTCCCCGCCGTCGCCCGTGCCTCGGTTCGCGTCATTGGTAGCGTTTCCGTTGCCTCCTCGTGCTCCGCCGTCGCCTTCTCTGCTCGGGCCGTTCGCGATTTCGCTCCTCCTGCGTGTCGCCCCTCCGTCTCCCCCCCTGCCTTCGTCGTCATCGTCGCTGTCGCGAAAGCCCTCCGGTCCCTCGATTCCCTCGTCTATTCCATCCGCTGCGTCGTCCCAGTTTATATCCTCATCCTCTGTGCGCGTTTTCGTTCCCTCCCCTTCTCCATCGTTGTCGCCTCCGTCGACTGCGGCGCTGTCTCTGCCCTCGCCTCCGTCCTCCTCGTCTCGCCTGCCGTCGTCCCGTGTCTCTCCGTCCTCGCCATCGTCTCGGCCGTTGTCTACCTGTTCATCGTGTCCCCTGCCGCTTCTGGCATCGCCGTTGGCTTCCTCTCTCCCCCTTTCCTCCCTGCCCCTCTCGCTGTCTGGTGTTAATGGACCCCCTTCCTCTCCCTCGCCACCGTCACCGTCACCATCCCCGTCGCTCCCGCCCTCCATCCCCGCCGCCCTTTGTCTCACACTCGTCTCTGCCATGTCCGCCGTCGCCGCCGTCCTGTCTGCTGCGCTCGGTGCTCCGAGGTACAGTCGCTTATTGTTGCTCAGGATTAGCTCACGCACCAGGACAGCCTCCTGCTCGTTACTTTGGCTTGCCGATATGCATCCAAAGTTCCACGCTAGCTCCTCCTTCGTCACGTCTATCTTTTTGCAGTATCTCGCAAATGCCGTCCGAGCTTGCTGGGGTGTTATTGCGTTCGGATCCGCCTTCGTCCCCGCCTTGTATCCCATCTCCTTGCGGTGGCTCCTGTATGAGTCCCCATATGACCATGTGATTTCTTGGCCTTCCTTGACTCCTCTCTCTGCAAACAGGACCATCACCTGCGCAGCTGCCTTGCCTAATTGTATCTCCTCGTAGCGTACGAAGTGCGTCGCCCTCGTGCCTCGTTTCGGCTCATTCGATGCTGCAGGCCAATCGAAGTTACAGCGCGCCGCGACGCTGTCAAAGTCGTCCTCGCTCTCGTCGTCACTTCCATCCAGCTGCGTCCCCCCTGCTGCCGTGTGTCGTGACAGTTCGGCTGGTACTGTCTCTGGTGGCTGCGCCGTTCCTGTCCGGAAGATCTCCCCAGTGTAGATGCTACACACCTCGAATTTTTCCAGCCTCCTCGTCGCCAGTAGGCCTAGTTCCCCTTCCGCTATGCTAGAGGGGCCTACCTTCGCCCCTACCACCGTGCCGCCCGTCGTTAGCATGGCCGTCGTTACTTTCGCCGCCGCCTCTGCTGCTTGTCGGCGGAGCGCCTCGCGCCTTCCCTCGTCTCCATGCTCCTGGTCTTGTTCTTTTTGTTTTCCTGCGCTTCCTGTCGCTGGTCCGGCGACGTATCTTGCCGTCTGCCTTCGCTTCCTGGCGGGCCGCGTTTCCTTCCCCTCGTCCCGTCTGTTTTCTCCTGCGTGGTCGCCCTCGCGTGCGCCGCTCGCCGTCTGTTCTCCTCTCTGCTCGCCGTCCTTGTCCCCTCGCTGTCGTCGCTTCCCTCCGGCGCTCGCCGCATCGTCGTTCCTATCACCGCGTTTCCTGCGCCGGCCTTCGCCTCCGAGCTCGCAGTGGGTCGTTTTGAGTGTCATCCCCATCGCTCTCGTCGTTCTGCCTCTCCCCGCTTCGAGGCGTCTCTCTGCCTCTTCCCTTTCTTTCTCCTCGGCATCACGTTGTCGATGTCGCCTCCGTCGCCAGCAAATACACGCATTCGCCGCCCACTCCATTTCTCGTATCCTCTCCTTCCTTTCCTTCTGTCCCTCTCTCAGGCGTTCTGTTTCCGCGGCTACTCGTTCCTTCCTCTCCGCCTCGAGTCCCTTCCTCTTCCCTTCCCGTACTTTGATTATTGATGCCGCCGTCTGCTGCAGTGCCTTGAGTGAAGTCACCACCCGTGTGTCATACTCCCTCATGATGTCTTCTGGCGGGTCCTGGTCCATCACACTCGGCTCGGGTAGTCGTCCAGCTAGCAGTTGCTCCATCCGAACGCTGCACCAACTAGGCCACACCGCAGGCTCGATATGCAATACGCACAAAACTGGCCGCTCATAAAGCACTACTCATTTGCCGAGGCCACGCGGCGCCCCTCCACAGCCAGCCTACCCTCCTATCGCGCCACTCGAAGCCCCGCGGCCGCCTCTCGCCTACCGCGCTGCCCTCGCCTGCCACCGCACCGCCCGCGCTCCAGCCTAACCAGCTCTGCATCTCGCAACACACACTTGACAGGGACAGACCAGGCGCAGGAAAAGGGAGCGGGGCCCGAATCCAAGGGACCACCCCGTCGGGCGGAGGAGCTGTGAACTCAGGTCCAGCAGGAAGGCTGCTGGCTCCTGACTCATCCCCCAAATCCCCCACACCTTGGCGGCCTGAAACCTTACCATTCCGACACCTCACACACACCCCTCCCCTAGGGCTAAGCAGTGCGCGAGCCCACCCGACTTCAGGCGAGACGTTGACCACTCCTTCGGAACAGTTCTGTCAGTGGCTGCACTAGACGCCCACAGAGGCGCGCGGCGCGGGCAGATGACTAGGGGAGAAAAAGCGGAGAACCTAGCTCGCTGGGAGATGTGCGCAACCTAAAGACGGGAATAGGGGAGAAGTGTCAGTGTGAGGGGAGGGCGTAGGCTGGCGTTTTTGCCTTTGAAAACTGAAAAAAAAATTTTTTTCTGAGGAGGGCATCCATAGACACCTCACTAGACCCCACACACGGTCTCGTCCGTGCCTCGCCGGCCGGCGAGATTGCTGGAGGTAGAGCAAGCCTGCTCTAGCCTCGAATGTCACTTCCTGTTGTCTGTTGTTTGTTGTGCCCTTCTTTGTTCTCTTGGCACCTTGGAGTGCTGGGGGGGGCGACAGGGAGGATGTGGCCTTGAGTTATGTGTACGCCAACTCAGGGTGTGTGGCAGCAAGCTGGCTGTGTGTCTTGTGAGCCTGTTTGTGTCTGTGTGTCGCTCATGCGTGTCGTCATCATCTGTCCAGCGTCCACCCATACCGCGTTGGTGTCCAGTCCGAGCCTGGCTGTTCTTCACCTTCCTACATACATACATACGCGGCCGCCGACGCGACCGACCCCACCACCCTACGTTTGGGGATCTCAAAAAATGAAAAAGAATATAGAATTTTACCACGCCCCGCGCACGACACTGGGCACGGGACTGGCGCGCACTGGCACTAACACAGGTACACCACGGGAGCCGCCTAAGCGACTCCTGCGAGAGAAAAAGAATTTTATGACAACACTCCCTCGCACGACAGTGGGTGCCATCGCACCGGTGGGAATAGCCTGCAACGCATACGCCGACGCAGTAGCGACAGCATACGCCATACCTCGGAAATAACGACACGGAGGACGCCTCGAAAGTGGTGCGTGACGCCGGGACGCGGTACGAACTAGGCCGTGCTTGTACACGGTGCGGAGGGAGGCGGCAGAGGACACAGCGAGAAGAGGGAGATAGTGGACCGACGGACGTACGGGCACATATGTCGGTTGAGGAGGAGGCGGTGGGGTGGAGGGCGGGGTGGAGGGGTGTGTGTTTGGGGAGATGAGGGATCGGGAGGGGCGCGTGCGGCGGGACGTCGCCGGGCGCCTGGTCGGGCGCCTGGTGCACAGCTTTAAACGTCGGCCTGCTCGGCGCTGTCCCGCAGCTGCACCAGCCGCTGGGCGGACCTCTTGACGGATAGGGAGAGGTCGACTGCTTGCCCGGGCTCCGCGGCCGAACCGCGCGAGGGCCCGTCGGCTCGAGCCGCGTGGTGGAGGATCCAGTGGCGGTACTCGTCGGCAAGCCTCGCCAGCATCGCATCCGAGAGGAGGCGCTCGAGGCGCGGCTGCTCCTTGCGCAGCCGCGCGTGCAGCCCGGCGCTCACCACGAGCATCTCCCCGGCGGAGGTGCACGTGAGGGACGTCTGGCGCGTGCCCCGGGCGAGGGTCTGCAGAAAGCCCAGCATAGCACCCGGCACGGCAATCTCGATCAAGTGGCCGTCGCGACGGAGCTCATGCTCGCCGGAGAGAACGATGACGTAGAAGCTCGCGAACTCCGTCTGCGTCCAGATTTGCTGGCCGCCCACAACGCGCCAGCGCTCGCCCATCTGCAGCAGTGTGCGCACCATCGACACGCTGTCCGCTGACGGCTGTCTGATGAGGTGCGGGGAGAGCGCGAGCAGGAGGGAGGCCTCCACGACGCCGGCCAGCGCCACCGCCGCAGCGCCGCCAGCTGGCGCGTGCGCGCGCAGGACCGACTCCTCGCACTCGCGCAACGTCTCGTCGAAGCCGAGCATCCTGCCCAGCGTGCCGCGCGCACTCCGCTCGATGGCGGCCGCAACGTGCTTCGGCGGCGCCGCGCATCGCAGCGCACCACCCGCGCGCTCGATGGCTGCACGCAGCTTCACGAGCTCCTCGACGGTGCCAAAGTCGACGCCGAGCACGTGGCGCAAGTCGACGATGACGAACCAAAGCCTGCCGGCCTGTGGTGTCATGGCCATCGTGTGCTCTGTGCTCGGCTCGCCCGTTGCTGCTGCCGCCGCCGCCTCGCGCGCGCTCAGTAGCTTTGCCACGGCATGTGAGAGCTGCGGCGCCGATCCGAAAAAGAGGTAGCCGTGCAGGGAGATGAGAGAGACGCAGCGCGGCAGCTGGGAGTCCAGGATCGCGCGCTGGGCGGCCGAGCGCACCGTGTTTGAGCCGAGGCTCCGGGCGTCCGCCCCCGAGTAGACGCGCAGGATGGGCGTCTGGGAGTACATGATTAAGAAGTGGCCGGACGCGGCGAGCAGACCGCAGAGCAGCCCGGGCAGGAAGCCCATCGTGAGCATCAAGGCGGGCACCGCGACGACAAGCAAGGCGTCGACCGGGTCCGCCGTCCTCTGGAGCGCGTCCACACCGCCGTGCACGACGAAACCAAGCCTACATGATGAGTACGCGGATGTGGGGAATGCGATGTGGGGCAGAGACCCGAATATTGCGAATACGGCGAATACGGTCCAACACACAGACTACGTCTACGTGTCCTCTCGAGCGCTGCTTGGAGTACAAGAACACGAATGTCTAGCTTCTAGGGAGGTCAAGCCCCGTGTCGATCAGGAAAGCCGCGACGACGAAGCGCGGCACGGCGTCGACGATGTCCTGCAGCCGCGGCGATACAACTGTAAGCCGCGATGCATTCGAGGTAGAGGGATAGGCTGCCGCCGGCGATGTCCTTGAGCGCGAAGAGCGAAGCGGCGGTGAGGGCGCACACCAGCGGCCCTGCGCGGCCTGCCATGTGGCGCGTGAGGCGCAGGTTGGCCGTGCTCGGCGTGAGCTGCATGTAGCACGGCATCGCCCCGGCGGCCGCAGCAAGCAAGTTGGCGAAGCCAATCACGCCGAGCTCTCGATCGAGATCGAAGGCGGCGGGCGGCACGGGCTCGTCGGCGGAGGCCTCGGCGGAGGCGAGCGCCTCAATCGTGGCCAGGTCCATGATCGTCACGAGGGCATGCACGAGGACACACGAGAGGGCGTGAGGCAGCGCCGCCAGGAGCGCAGCCGCCGACACTTGAGACACGTCCAGCAGGCTGAGGAGGCCGAACGCCTTCGCCCAGGCACTGGGCTGGTCCTCCGTCGCGTCGGCCGCGTCGGCCGCGTCCGCCGCTCCGTGGCCTCCAAACCACCAGTCGGGAGGGAGGGCAGGCAGGCCGACGAGCGGCATCGCGTTGGAGGCGAGCGAGAGGCCGCCCAGGTAGGCCAGCGCAGCTGCCGAGCCGCCGAAGATGCGCTGGGTGAGCGCGAGGCCGGCGAAGGCAGCGAGGGAGCCAATCGCGCGCGCGAGCCCGCCGGCCGTCGCGAGCGCGCCGACCTAGTAGGAGTGAGGATCGACTCGTACGAAGGTATGAGCGCAAGGGCTTGTGGGGAGCTACCAGCGCCGACCTCGCCACCGACGCCCATCTCCATCCCTGACAGCATCATGAAGATGCCGACGCCGGTCAGCGCAGCCTTGAGCACGATGTTGGGGACGCACCTGAGGGTGAGGGCGAGGGCGAGGGTGAGGGTGAGGGTGAGGGTGAGGGCGAGGGCGAGGGCGAGGGCGAGGGTGGGGGTGAGGGTGAGGGTGAGGGTGAGGGTGAGGGTGGTGAGGGCGAGGGTGAGGGTGAGGGCGAGGGCGAGGGTGAGGGCGAGGGTGAGGGTGAGGGTGGGGGAGAGGGTGAGGGTGAGGGTGAGGGCGAGGGTAGGGTGAAGCACCTGAAAACAGCTCCAAGGCGCAGCCAGCTGACGGCGATGTAGAGGGTGCCCACGAGGGCGCTGGTCAGCGCATTTGCGACCAGAAGAGTCGACGCCATCGCAGCCGAAGACTCGCAAAAGGGCGTCACTGTCAGAGCAATGTCCACAAGGAGCGGGGCCAGCTCGTAGGCGGCGCCGGAGGAGGCGTGCTTGAAGCCGCTGAGTAAGCTCATTGCCAGCTGCCCGCACACGACCGACAGGAGGTAGATGGACAGTCCAGACGAGACGGGGAGTCCGGTCGCCACAGGCACCAAAATCAGGCCGAAAGAGAAGGCGTACACATCAGAAAGCACTGTGATGAAGATCGCGGCGGGCACGTGCTGGATGTACTTCAGAAGCATCGGTGGCGTTGTTCGACGTTCGCCGAGGAGCGGAGCGGCAAGCGTGTGCGCAGGCATGCAGCACTTGAGTCGACTGCCACACGCACGCTCGCAGCACGACTCGCGGCACGATGAGGGAGTGTGTCAAGGGGCCGTACTCGACCGCGGGCGGAGCTGATATCCTTTGGCCGCGTTGGGAAGCGAGGGGGTGTAGGCAGCCAGCGGATACACCCTGGCATTCTTTCTCTGCATTATTAGTACTCTGGGTTAGTTTCGGATAAGCTCGGGTAGTCTCGGGTAGTCTCGGGTCATTTCGGGTCATCTCGGGTCATGTTGGATCTGGCGTAGTCGGCACACAAACACACACACACACACACACTATAAGCGGATAGGGGTTGGGAAAAAAATGAGCGGGGGTTGACTGGGTGCGCTTCTGAGCTCCCCGGTCCTGGGCGTGCGGCAAATAACTGCACTCCAAAAGTGCTCCAAGTGTGCGGGATGTCTGTGGGCCCGAGAGCAGTGATGTGCGTGTGTCCGCTTTCATAACCTCGAATGACAAACACGTGAACAGGGCTCCAGGCCCCAAATGACGTGTGAGTGTTAGAGTTGTTTGGTATTGCTAAAAATCTCTCTCTCTCTCTCGAATGACACTGGGCACGGCACCGAAAAGATTTTCACCAGGGCGGACGCACACGCACGATTCACAGCCTTGTTATGAGAAGAAAATACGTCCTATGGCGCTGTGCGCTGGTCTATGAGAGGTTGAGGTGCGAGCCCTGGAGGCCCTGGGGATGGGGGGAGACTACCAAAAAATGAGCGGCCAACTGGGTGCGCTTCTCAGCTCCCCGGTCCTGGGCGTGAGGTTAATGACTGCACTCCAAGTGCTCCAAGGGCGGGTGTGACTGGGTGCGCTTCTGAGCTCCCCGTCGGCGCGGCGGCGGGCGACGCAGGGCGGGGCGGCGCGAACACCTGCCCCGCACCGGGTCTCTGGCCATTGGAGCAGTGCAGTGGTCGCGCCGCCCATGTCAGGACCAACACCCCGACCGGCAACGACGGAGAATGCACTCCGCGTGCCGGCGGCCCCGTCGGTGGCGGCGTCGATCGGATCGCGTCGCGCCGGCGGGGGTGGTGACCGAGCGGGCAATGGCTCCGCTGGCCGGCGCGGGGTCGCGCCAGCGGGGAACAGGTAAGTAAGGCGGCATCGACGATGAACGGTCACGAAACCCACCCCACCACACTGAAAGACCACCGGCCAGTTGACGACACACCCCCAGACGCCCGCCGATGAAGCCGGGAGGATGTATGGAGGAATGGTAAGGACCTCTCCGGATTGGTTGAGCCCCGGCATCGACGGCGGGAAGAGGGAGGATCCCCGCCCCTATCCCTCAGTTCAATCCCCGAGAGGAGAGGCAGAGCCTCTGGCGCGGTGAGACCACCCGTACGCTCTCAAGGCCGAACCCCCCCCCCTCTCCAGTTCAGATGACTGCGGGCATGGGTCACTCGTTGTGACTCTCTTCTCTCTGTTTTCGCCTGGGCCGAGCGTTTTTGATCTCTGGATCTGTGGGCGCCCGCCCGCCGCCTCTGAGGGGGTCGGGCCCCCTAGACTGAAAACAAAAACAAGCTCGAAAACAGCCAAAATCAGCCTGCGAGAGAGGCACTGCGCGCCGCTGACCTCAATGTGGGGATGTGTGCAGTGTGCCGACACCACTACTGATCTAAAACCTGGAAACCCTTGTTCAAAGCCGACCCTAAGCGCCATCCTTCCTGCTCTCACCTGATGCTGCTTCCCCGCGCCGCCACCTAAGGCCCCCTTGGGCGTATTTTCTACTCCCAGTGGGGTCCCGGGCCCCCGGGCCCCCTCTTGTTTTCTGTTTTCTGGTTTTCAAAACGCCCACCCGCCCGCCACCCCGAAGCGGCTCGGCCCCCCACAGATCCAGAGATCAAAAACGCTCGGCCCTGTGTGAGACTACAGAGCTACCTCGGCACCTCTCGGGCCGCCTCGGGCTTCGCCTTCGGGCTCTGGGCTTCGGGCTCTTACACTCGAAGTCGTACGCACGTAGTAAGACACAAAACAAACCACGCCCTCACATGCAACTGTAAACAAAACAATGTGTCGTCTCCGCCCGCGGCGACCGGCGGCGCCGGCCGGCGCACCCCGACGGGCGCCACCTACGGCGCTCTACGCGGCGCTCTCTGGGCTTCGCAAACCGCTGCGGTCGGCCACAAAGAATGTGAAAACCGCACCTCAGCCCCGCGTGCCCTTGAGCGCCGCCACCGTCCCCTTGAGCTCCGCCACCTGGTCGAGCGCGTCGCCGAGCAGCCCCTTGGCCAAGCCGAGGTCGCGCAGCTGCTCCACGCCGCCGCTCGCCCGCACCACGGCGGCGTTGTCCGCCACGTAGCGGCGGCACTGCGCGAGGAGCCGCCCGTCGCCCGTCATGTGCGCCGCCTCGAGCAGCGGCACGGCGCTCGCCGGCCCGACGCTCTCCTGCAGCGCCTGCGCGCAGAGCAGCTCGAGGCGCGGCACCTGGTACATCTGCGCCAGCTGCCGCAGGTCGAGCGCGCGCTGCGCTCTGCCGCCCTCCTCCTCGCCGAGGTCGAGCTGGTCGGTGCAGAGGTAGCGGACGAGGGCGGTGAAGGTGGCGAGGTCAGTGTTGGACACCGTGACCTCGGCGGCGTCGCGCTCCTTCATGCCGATGCCAAACATGGTCCGAAAGAAAACGGACCGAATGCAGAGCAAGGCCTTGGTGACGTGCTCGTAGCGCTCCTCGTCATCGCCGACGATGAAGGTGACCATGCCCTGGGGGAGAGTGGGGTCGCCGCACGCCTTTCCGAGGTCTGCCACCAGGGTCGAGGGCGGCACCACAATCGGGGCGAAGGAGGGAGGCGGAGGAGGCGCCGACACGCAGACCTGGCGGAGGCCACCGTCGTTCGTGCAAACCAGAAGAGCGCTGCCGTCGGTGCTGATGGCGACGCCGAGTGGGCGTCTGAACTGCGCCGCGCCGCCCACGCCATCGGCGCTGCCCTCGGTGCCGCTACCCGCGACAGTCGTCACCGCGCCAGTTGCCACCTCCACCCGCCGGATCTTGTGGTTGTTGGCGTCTGTCACAAACAGCGCGCTGCCGTCCGGGCTGATGGCGAGGCCGCGTGGGTTTGTGAACTGCGCCGCCCCGCCCATGCCATCAGCACTGCCCCTGGTATCGCTGCCCGCGAGAGTCGTCACCGCGCCAGTCGCCACCTCCACCCGCCGGATCTGGTGGTTGCTGAAGTCCGCCACAAACAACGCGCTGCCGTCAGGGCTGATGGCGACGCCGGTTGGGCGATAGAACTGCGCCGCGCCGCCCACGCCATCAGCACTGCCCGCGGTGCCGCTGCCCGCAAGCGTGGTCACCGCGCCAGTCGCCACCTCCACCCGCCGGATCTTGTGGTTGTGCATGTCCGCCACAAAGAGCACGCTGCCGTCGGGGCTGATGACGACGCCGCATGGATTGGCGAACTGCGCCGTGCCGCCCACGCCGTCAGTGTCGCCAAACTCGCCGCTGCCCGCGATCGTGGTCACCGTTCCAGCCGCAGCCTCCACCTGCATGATCTTGTGGTTGAATATGTCTACCACAAACAGAGCGCTTCCGTCTGGGCTAATGCCGATGCCGCGGAGGTTGACGCCTTCCATGGTTGCCACGCTGCGCACGCGCCCGGCCACAGAGACGTGCAGCAGCGCATTCTGGGTGGTGACGTACCAGGCGCCCGCGCGATCGCTCACGACGCCTTTCACCTCGCCCGCAGCCGGTTGGCCGTCCTCGCCCTTGAGCGGCAGCGTGGTGACCTGGCCGAAGACGCGCACGCCAAAGAGGGGCGCCTCGAAGCCATCCGCGACCGCCACAGTCCCGCCGTCCGAATCGCCGTCCTCGCCGGCGGTGCGGGCGCGCTTGCCGGCGGCGGACGCCATAAGGCTGGATTCGGGACCAGCCGGGTTTGGGACAAGTTTCTATCGTGAGCCTGGCTGTTCTTCACCTTTCTACCTACCTACCTATCGTTGTCACACAGAGCAATCAGACTGCAGTCAAAGATGAGGCACCCCCATTCTCAATTCTCGCTCCGCGGGCGGGGGCGCGAGACGCGTGTCTCGCGCGTCACACACACCGCGGAGGGAGAGCGCCACAGAGTCAGAGAGAGACACACTCCCCGTCACAGTGTGTACGTGTCATCCACTCCACTAAACCGTGTCAGTCTCTCTGCGGTGCCGCGCTCACGCGACTCGATACAGCACACCATTCCCAAAGAAAGAAAGAAAACAGACAACCCAAGGGAGGGATGGGAGGACGGCACGCCGCCACCACACAGGGATTTTAAGGAGAGGTGTTGGTGTGTGGTGCGCTAGCCGTCGCCCACCCTAGGGAGTCTGCCTCTTCCTATCTCTTTTCGCAGTCTCTCGCCGATTCTCGCTGCAACCTTCATGCCACCTCGCGGCCGTCCCACTCTCGTCGTTCTCTCCCTTGTCACACCATTCCCATCGTGCTTTTTGGGTTGGGTTGGGTTGTTCCGCGTGAGGTTGGGTCGTCGGCGCGAAGGGTGAGGTCTCGACCGCCGCCGCTCACGCCAGCGGACGGCCACTGCCGGTGTTTTTGGCTTCGCCACCGTCCAAGGCGTGCGCCATGCGCTCACCGGCATCGAGCGAGCAACGTGATCGACCGAGCGGCTTGCTGTGTGGTCGCCTTCTTGTGGCTCTCGTCGAGAGCGTTTTGCGTCCCGGCGGGTGGGAGAATGTGTGTCGTTGATGTGTCACTGTGTGCGTCACATCGATGTGGATAACAAGCACGGTCGATCCGTCAAAGCGATACACTCGTTCCTATCACGCTGGAAGGCTTGCACGGAGCGTCTGTGCCGGCACACAGAAGAGCCGTGCGGCAAGAAGAGCTCGATGGGGAGCGAGAACTGCCAGAGGTGCTCACCCAGGTTTCGGAAGTCCGCCTTGATGCGGTCAGTCCCCCCCAGGTTTGACCGCGCAGCTCGCAAGACTCGTCGAACACTCGTAGCCTTTCTGCGCCTCTGACTCTGCAAGCTATGCGGGAAGAGCAGTTTATTCGCAATATATCGACGAGTTCGAGAGAGCCACAGGCTTTCGCTCGGGAGGGATTGAGTGCGTCGCGACGGACTTCAGGCTACACCTGAAAATCTGACGGTTCTCGCTCCCCATCGAGCTCTTCTTGCCGCACGGCTCTTTCTGTGTGCCGGCACAGAGCTCCGTGCAAGCCTTCCAGCGTGATAGGAACGAGTGTATCGCTTTGACGGATCGACCGTGCTTGTTATCCACATCGATGTGACGCACACAGTGACACTTTAGACGACACACATTCTCCCACCCGCCGGGACGCAAAACGCTCTCGACGAGAGCCACAAGAAGGCGACCACACAGCAAGCCGCTCGGTCGATCACGTTGCTCGCTCGATGCCGGTGAGCGCATGGCGCACGCCTTGGACGGTGGCGAAGCCAAAAACACCGGCAGTGGCCGTCCGCTGGCGTGAGCGGCGGCGGTCGAGACCTCACCCTTCGCGCCGACGACCCAACCTCACGCGGAACAACCCAACCCAACCACAACCCTACCCAACACGAAACAACCCAACTCAAAACACGATTCTCAAGTTGGGCCCTCAGTCTCTGATTGTCGCGGGCCAGCACGAGCGCCGGGGGGCCCGTCGACACCCCAGGGTACATGCGAGCTATTCAGAGAAGCTTTTGCGCGAAATCCCACACCGGTGGATTTTGGGGCGCTGTCCACCCCCTACCCTAGACACTCTCTCAAAAAAGAACTTTCCGAGCGACGGCCTTTAAGCTTTATTTGCAAACTGGACTCTGGAGGACCCGATTGCTGCAAGGAAAGCGGAGTTATGCCGAAAGGTGAGGAGAGCAAGGGCTCGGCAGGCGCCGGCGCCGTCGCAGAACGAGGCAGAGCAGAGCTATGAGGCAGAGAGGACGACGGGGCAGGAGAGAGTGAGAGAACGACGAGAGCGGGAAGACCGCGAGGTGGCGTGAAGGTTGCTGCGAGAATTGGCGAGGGACTGCGAACGGTGCAAAGAGAGAGAGGAAGAGGCGGAGAGCCGAGACCGCTCCGTCAACCGAACGGGGGGCACGTTCAGTATAATTATCTCAGTCGGGTGGTTGACCTGCCGACAACACAAATCTCTCTCTCTCTCTGACCTGCCGCCCCCGCCTCATACGGGCAAGAGAGAGTCGTTCGACAGAAAGTGATAGACGGATGGCTGGTCTCGCAGGGCGCCGAGCGTGATGTTGGGGCGGTTGCTTCTAGCGCGGGAGCCGGTGGAGGGCGCTGGTACCTCCTGCCCCCCTCCAAGGACAGATGAGGCAGCCGCTCACTTCCGCTTCTTGTGCGGCGGCGGCTTGTCGACCCACCCCCTGCCCCCCATAGCCATCCCGCCTGTACCAACGGCGCCGTGCGAGGTGTGAGGCGGGCGAGAGGTTGAGGTTCCACACACACACAAGAGCTTGGTGGCGGAGGGGCAATATTAAGACGTGCATGCACATGTGTAGTTGCGGCTGTTCCTCGCGTGTGCTGCGACCGGCTTCCCAAGACGCATCGCGCGCGCGCCTGGGCTCAGAGAGAGCCTCGGCAGCTCGTGCTTTCGCCCCAGTACCTTGGCAGCTCCCTCTCTCGGCTCTATCTCGGCTATCTCTCTGCAGTACCTTGGCAGCTCCCTCTCTCGGCTCTATCTCGGCTATCTCTCTGCAGTAGCTACCTTGGCAGCTCCCTCTCTCGGCTCTCCTCGATCTCGGCTATCTCTCTGCTTCATCTGCCATGGCAGCTCTATTCTCGGCTCTCGTCTCGGCTATCTCTCTGCTATATATCTCATATCTGCCTGCCCAGTACTGCGGCGGGTCTTCGTCAGTCTTGTACGCCGCGAGCGCATAGTCAAAGGTCACGTTGTAGCCGTGCTTGGTCGGGGGCTTGCCGGGAGGGCGCTTCAGGCCGGTCGTGGGGGCTGGGGCGGCTTTCGGAACCGGTCTCGCGGCGGCTTTCGGGGCGGCATTCGCTTTCGGGGCGGCGGCGCGCAAGGGAGCGGCCAGCGCCGATGAGCTCTCGGCTGCCGCTGCGCTGGAAGCAGCGGCAGCGGCAGTGGCGGCGGCGGCGCTCTGGTGGCCCAGGCCCGGATGGGCCGCGCCGGCGGTGAACGCGGCGCCGGCGGTGGACGCACGCCCCGCCGGGAGAACGACGTGCGCCCGCGCCCTCCCGGCGGCGCCAGCCCGCGGTCCTCGTGCGCGGAAGGGCGGCGTGCGAGGCGGGGGAGGTGGCCGCAGCGGCGGCGCCACAGCCACGGCCGCCGCTAGCTCGGCCAGCACCTCCTGCACCGCATCGGCGACACTCTTCCGACCCGGCGAGCTGGGGAAGGGCGCCGCTGCACCCGGCGAGGTCGGGAAGGGCGCTGCTGCACCCGCTGCCGGCGGCGACTCCAAGCCGCTGACTTGGCTGCCGGTCCGGCTCGCCGGCGAGGAGTCCTCGACTGCCGCCACGGCGGGTGGAGGGAGGATGGCCAGGTCAGCGGGACGGTGGGAGAGGGGGGGCGGCAGCGACGCAGGCGAGCCGCACGCGCGCGCGACTGAGGGAATCGTCGAGAAGGACACCATAGGTGTCACTTTTCCGAGGCGCCGTTCACAGTGTGTGTCTTCTTAGTGTGTGTGTGTGTGTGCTTCTTAGATCTCGAATGCAGTGAGCAAGGACGGGCGAGCACCTAGGAGCAGCGCGCACCCGCGTTGTTGCGTTGGACTGATAGAGGACGAGTGGTGCTCGCGACGCCGCGGGGCCGGCGATGTGCACTCGGGGGGAGAGAGAGAGCACTCGGGAGCTTTTTTTGACGATTGATCCCGAGTGGCGTTGTTTGAGAGAGATTTTTAGAAGCCAACAAGAAATGTGTGACACACAGTGATTTGGGCTCGGCAGCTTGTCGACTACCGGCCGGAGCCGGAGTCGGAACCGTAGCCGAGATGGTCGTCGAGGGTGTCGAATATGTCATTCGCCTCGCTAGTAGAGCCGGTGCCGCATGAGTCTTGGTCGGAGGAGGAGTCGTCGGAGGAGCGGTCGGACCGCTCGCGTTGTTTGAGAGTGTGTTGTTGTTGTTTGTGCCGTTCACAACTGACAACACTCTCTCTCACAACTTGTAGTTCCATCCTTTGTTGCGTCGGACTGTAAGGAGACGACGCCCGTGATGCACTCGGGAGTACGGACAACAAACAAACATCTCTCTCTCTCGGAATTATAATGTGAAAGATGTGACCGATCGATCTTCGTGTGGTGGGCAAGCACGCGTTTGACACGTCTCGCGCGCGCGTGAACAGGGCTCCAGGCCCCAAATGACGTGTGAGTGTTAGAGTTGTTTGGTCTTGCTAAAAATCTCTCTCTCTCGCGTTTGGTAGGACCGCCGCCGCACATAACGCCACGGCATCATCTCCGACGACATCTCCGCCATGTACCAGTGGACGAGCCGCTGGGCGGGATTCGCCTTCCTGCGGAGACGCTTTCCGTCCCTCCTCGCCATCTTCCGCTTCTTCTACTACTCCGTCGCGGCCACTGCTGCGAAAATATGGTTTAGAGATGGCTGCGGCCTCTGCGCGTGCTAGGGAGGCCGCTGTTGCGGCCAGGGAGGCGGAGCGGGCCTCAGCTGCGGCTTCAGATTCGAAGGCTTCCGCCAAGGGCCAAGGGCCAAAGATCAAGGTCAAGACCCATCCAAAGCCACCAGCAAAGACCAAGGGCCAGCTGATCAGCGCGTGGACGACCGACACGCGCGGCGCGGCCTGCGCCTTTCGATACGCGTGCGCCACTTGCCAGCATAAATGGCACGGCATGGGCCTCCAGCTTCCGACGAGCACAACATGCCCCGGGTGCAGCCAAGCAGGGCCAGTGACGGACCACGGTTGGGGCTAGAGAGAACTGTCGCTCGCGTGGATGCCGGGTATCACACTTACACTTAACCGAAGAGAGAGAGAGAGAGAGAGAGAGAGAGAGAGAGAGAGAGAGAGAGAGAGAGAGAGAGAGAGAGAGAGAGAGAGAGAGAGAGAGAGAGAGAGAGAGAGAGAGAGAGAGAGAGAGAGAGAGAGAGAGAGAGAGAGAGAGAGAGAGAGAGAGAGAGAGAGAGAGAGAGAGAGAGAGAGAGAGAGAGAGAGAGAGAGAGAGAGAGAGAGAGAGAGAGATCCACTGTGCAGCGAAGCAAGGGCCGCGAGAAGCAAGTAGCAACCAAACATAGAGCTGGGTCCTGGGTGCTGGGACCGACTACGGCTTTTACCGGGCCTTGCACTTTAAATGCCGTGGGGCTCCTGTCGTTAGACGTGGAGATGCGAGGGTTGCCCCCCCTTGCCCCACCACGACCTCGTGTGTGCGTGGAGAAGTTTACCTTACCTTACCTTTATGGCGGGGGCCGGGGCGACGGAGGCGGCGCCGTATCAAACACCCGTTCGCGGTTTTCGGACTCGTGCGCACCCAAAACTGACGAACTGTTCAAAATATCGCGGCGACGAGGCGTGTGCCCACTGCCAGCTGCGCAGCCAGTCTGCGTGGCAGTGCGAGCGCGCCGCGCGCGCGGTCGCGAATAACGTATACAGAAACGCGGCGAGGGCGCGGCGAGGCCGGCGCGCGGCCCCTGTGTCACGTCGTGAGCGCGTCGACGAGCAGGCCGAGCCCGTTGCCCGCGATGGTCGTCGCGTGCAGCACTTCGTGGTGGCCAAAGACGGCCGAGTCTGGCCACTCGAGCGCCTTGAGCAGCAGGCCGATCGCGTACACGCCCCAGAGCGCGAGCCACCACGGGTGGTGCGGCGCCTCTCGCCACATCGCGGCGAGGAGCAGCGCCATCTGCCCGCCAAACGTCAGCACAAAGGACAGGAAGAGCTCGCGGCGCGGCGTGATCCGCTCGGGCGAGATGCGGACACACATGAGGCCGAAGAGGGCGACGTTGGCGCCGAGCAGCGCGGCGTCGGCGAGCGCGACGCGATGCGGCGCCATGATGCCGCAGACGAGGAGGAGGTGGTACGAGGCGGGCACGCACAGCGCGGCGCGCCAGTCGTTCGCGTGCAGCCGCTGCTCCACCTCCAGCGTCGACGGCGCGTCGTACGCGGCGCCGAGCCTGCGGTCGAGATTGTGCAGACCGTCGGAGAGGACGGTGTTGAGGTACATGGCGCCGACGTGGCAGGCGCGGCAGGCGAGCAGCCTCGCGTCCCGCGGCGAGCCACCACGGAGGTACGACCACACAGCAAACGTCCCGTAGCCAAGCAGCGCGGCCCAGGCGAGGCCCGTGCGGCGAATGAAGCCGTAGAGCGATCCGCGGTACGTCGGGCGAGTGTCGCCGTCGGAGAAGTATTTCGGCCGCGGCATTGCGACTGCGTGGCGACTGCTGCGACCAGTGGCGAGTGGAGCGGTGAGAGGCCCCCGCAACCAAAAAGTAAACATTTCGTTTGATGGGGGGGGCGACAGGGAGGATATGGCCTTGAGTTATGTGTACGCCGACTCAGGGTGTGTGGCAGCCCGCTGGCTGTGTGTCTTGTGAGCTTGTTTGTGTCTGTGTGTCGCTCGTGCGTGTCGTCATCATCTGTCCAGCGTCCACCCATACCGCGTTGGTGTCCAGTCCGAGCCTGGCTGTTCTTCACCTTTCTACCTACCTACCTAGGTGGATATCCAAGGCTAGCTCACTATCCGTCTTTATGGCCTGGCGTTTGTTTTTGTTTTTTCATTTTTGAAGCTTAGCTAAGCTCAAAAGCAAAACGCGCACTCACATCGAGAGAGATTGTTGTCACATCGATGCGCAGCCTTCCAGCCCCGGGGCACGCGTCCCTCCTTCAACTCTCAAAGTTGGCCATCAATTTTCGGCTCCGCCTGCTTCCCCCGGCCCCATATGGCAGACGCGCTCCTGCGTGGCTCCAGTTGGAGCTCGAGCAGCGGGTCGAGCGACCCGCACGCCTCCGCCGCCGACGCTTCGACCGATGGCTCCTCGACTCCCCCGATGCCGTGCGCTGTGGCCCCTCGGCCGTCTCCCCGCCGCCGGCGCGAAACGCGAGCGCTGGAGATTGACATGGCGCTGCCGGGAGCGCCACGCCGCGCTGCCTCGCCCGCATTGACACCCGCCAAGACGCCCGCCCGGGTGCCGGGCGCAGCCAGCGTGGGCTCCGCGCCTGCCGAGGCACGCGCAAAGCGCACTGCCCCGGCCGGCTCGCGCGAGAATGGATCGATCGATGTCGACATTGTGGATGGCTTCGAGTTTCGATCGCAGGCATCCAACTTGTCTGTTGAGCCGGCCGTCAAGATGAAGCGCCCGCGGGGCAAGAGGCGAGCGCCGCGCGCTCCCGCCCGCGAGCTGCCCGCGGCGACAGAGTCTGTGCCAGAAGAGGCCGAGGGCTTGCGCCTGCACCTCTCCAGCAGCAGCGCCACCGGGTACAAGGGTGTGTCGAAGGGCGAGGGGGGCAACCTCGGCCGCTTCCGAGCGCAGACGTATACGGGCGGGGAGAGCAGTCACTTGGGCTTCTTTGACACGGCGGTGGACGCGGCGGTTGCCTACGCACGGTCGGTCGGCGCCAAGCGCCAGAAGTGCGTCCTCCCCGGGCGCGAGCAGCAGCTGCAGCAGCGCGACCCGCAGCAGCTGCAGGAGGGCGACCCGCCGCTGCTCGAGCGGGCGTCTCTCCAGGCGCGCCGCCCCAGCGCGACCTCTGCACACATTGCGGCAGCTCCGGCCACCCACCCGCACCCTCGGCGCGCGTGGCCGGCCACAGTTTAGCGGCATGGGGTGACTTACCGCCGGCGCTGCATGTAGGTTTACTCGGCTGCGCACCTGCGCGGCCCGCAGCCCGCAGGCCACCTCGGACAGCACGCGCAGCCAGGCAAACGGATCCGCTTTGCGAAGCGCCCTTTCGACTGCGAGGTCGAGGCGGCGGCTAGGATCGCTTCGCCGGGCAAGCTGCCGACCTCGCTTGGAGCGGCTGCACTGCTGCCGCGACGAGTGCCGCGCCGGCCATCGACCGCACGCGACCGCGATCCTCCCGGGGCGGAGGAGGCACCGGCGGCGGCGGCGCTCCCGAAGGCGCTTGTCGGTGGCGAGGAGCCGCCGCCGCCGCTGCCGGGCCGGCGGATCCGCGTCTACTGGCCGGCGGAGGAGTGCTGGTTCCGCGGGCGCGTGATCAGCAGCAGCGCTGTGGTCGGGCAAACGATCCAGTACGACGATGGCGAGACTAAGCGCCACTTGCTGGATGTCGAGGGTTGGCAGTGGGAGTACATCACCGTTGGCCGACGGAAAGCGGCCAAGCCAGCAGCGCAGCCGGCGGCGGAGCCGGCGGCAGCAACAGCGGAGCCGGCGGCGGAGCCAGTAGAGGAGCCAGCGGCGGAGCGGGCGGCGGAGCCCGCGGCACAGGAGCCGCCGGAGGAGCTGCATTTGCACCTCTCCTGCAGCAACACCACCGGCTACAGGGGGGTCTTCAAGGACGCGCACGGCCGCTTCTACGCGCAGCACAAGATTGGCGTGAGGACGGTCAGCTCGGCCTCCTTCGACACGGCGGTCGAAGCGGCGGAGGCCTACGCGCGGTCAATGAAAGACCCCGCCTCTCTCGCGGCGGCCGGTGCGAGTTGCATCGCGCCGCGCGCCGCGCCTCCAGCCGCTCGAGCGCGAGCTTCGACGGTGGCAAAGGAGGCAAGCGCGAGTGCGAGCCGCCCGCAAGCGCGACCGCGAGCCGCACCTAGAAAAGGCGGAGCTCCCGTCGCCGGCAAGCACGACCTCGAGCCGCCCGCAGCAGAGGCGCTTGCGGAGGCGCCCGCGCCAGCTGCCGCTGCGGCAGCGGAGCCGCCTGCAGCTCTGGCGACGGGGGAGTCGAGGAGCGCAGCTGCACCGCTCCCGCTGCTGCCACAGCGGCCATTCCGACCTCAGCCCTTTGGAGGCGGTCACGCGCCGCTGTCTCTGGAGGAACGGATGCGGCTGAGCGGGGCGCCGCCTCTCCCTCCGCTCCGCAAAGCGCAGGCGCCCGCACAGGCCACGGTCGCCACCGTCGTCGTCACTGCCAGCTTCTAGCTTTAGTGCATGCAGCATGTAACATATGAGAACTCGCGGTAGAAGAGCACGGGAGTCGATGTGTGCTCGCCTCGCCATGCTAAGCTCCACGGTGTATGGGGCGCAGCCGTACTAAAAGCCGGTCTCGAGCTACGGCTCTAGTGGGTCTAGAGGTGTAGAGCGTCGAGAGCTAGACGAGCGCGAGAGGTGTGTTGAAAGTGTGTCGTTTTGGTGTTTCATAACATTTTTGCCCCTCGTGCTCGCGTGACGTCGGCTCCCGAGTCCCGCGCCTCCCGTGTGCTCCGGTACACAATGTATGCACAACCCCCCCCCCCCCCCCCCCCCCTCTCCCAGAGAGAGCCGCGGACCGCGCTACACACGTCATACCTGGCCTCGCACGAGGCCGACCGCGGTGCCGGTGACGCTTGTGAGGGCTAGGTCCACCAGCTTCGCGCCGATGAAGGTGCAGCCGTCGACGTCGGCCAGCGAGAGGTCGCACGTGTGGAGCGATGCGCCGGTGAAGTTGGAGCGGGCGAGCTCGGCGGTTTGGAGGTCGACGGTACGCAGCTCCGCCCTGGAGAAGTCTGACTCCCACACCTTTGCGCCCGTGAACTTGGTGTCAACCAGCCTTGCGCCGACGAAGCTGGCGCGCGGGATCGTCGAGGAGGAGAAGTCCGCGCCCTCGATGACGGCGTAGTCGAAGCGCGCAGCCTCAAGGTTTACGCCGTCGAGGATGGCGCCGTGCATCTGCGCGCCGACAAACGACGCCGTCGTGATGGCGGACGAGTCGCTCAATGAGGCGCCCCGAAGGTTTGCGCCGTCCAGCATCGCGCCGCTCAAGTCGACCCCGCCAATCATTGCGTTCTCGAGGTTGGCGCAGCGCAGGTCGGCGTTGCGGAGGTCTGGGCACGTGTCAAAGATGGCGTTTGGCCCCGCCAGCGCCGCACACCCGCCCCGCGACTTGCCAGGCAGCGGGGGCAGACTGCCGCCACAGGGGCTCGGCGGCGGCGGGAGCGTCGCAGGGGCAGCGAGCGGACTCGGCGGCGGCGTCGCTGTGCTGAACAGCCACCAGGCGAGCCTCCCCGGCAGCGTCGTAGAGGCAGCGAGCGGACTTGGCGGCGGCGGCAGCATCGCAGGGGCAGCGAGAGGGCTCGGCGGCGGCGGTGGCGAGAGAGGGCTAGGCGGCGGCGAGAGCGGGCCCGGCGGCGGCGGGAATGGGCTCGGCAATGGTAGCCACCAGGCGAGCCTCCCCGGCAGCGTCGTAGAGGCAGCGAGCGGACTTGGCGGCGGCGGCAGCATCGCAGGGGCAGCGAGAGGGCTCGGCGGCGGCGGTGGCGAGAGAGGGCTAGGCGGCGGCGAGAGCGGGCCCAGCGGCGGCGGGAATGGGCTCGGCAATGGTCGTCCTGCTGGCGGCGGGAAGGTCGCACCAGGGGCCGGCACGCTCGCGAGAGGCGAAGCAAACGCTGACGTGGTGCGTTTGACCATGCACACGAAGCCATGCGCTGGAAGGATCCCGTCCACTTGCGCGGTCTGAAGCTCGCACCTCCGATACCCGCCGGCGGTACCGAATTGAAGCCACTCGTAGGCCGTGCATTCAGTCATGCCGGAGCATTTGGACTCGCAATCCGCCATCGTCTTGAGCCAGACCTCATAGTGCTTTGACGCGGGGCTGCCCAAACTGGTGCACACGCCGGCGCGGCCGCCGGGTGCTGGCTCGAATGCCTGTGCGAGCGAGAGGAGAAACGCCGTCTGTGGCATGGAGGCGATTCCAGTCGAATGCACCACACACCCGGCCACAGCCACAGGCGGGGTTTCAGATTTTTGCCGGTATGGGTGTAAGCCGACTTTCTTCACCTCGTCCGAACCATTCCCTCCTCCACACTCTCCCAGTCCTGGTCTCGCGAGCCACAATGACCCCAGTTGGTTGGGCAACGGTGATGCAATGGCTATTAATTATCTTTTATTCAAAAGCTGATGTGAGAGAGATTAAACCAACCAAGGTCCTGCCTGAGAAAAGAGAACAACACAAAAATTGGTGAGAAAGAACGATAAGGCGCCGGAGAAGCACCTAAACTCAGACACCATCACGACTAACTAACCATCATTAGACCATATGGCTGCTCAGTGTGCCCACAGTCTCCATGCTTCCTTTAGTCCGGGTCTGTCCCCTGCCTCTGAGAGGACGCTCCATCTCCCAGTATCGTGCCGTCTGCGCGGGCGCACGGCCAGTGCACAGGACAGCCGCGCAGTGGACTGCTCCCTCAATTACGAGAAACTCACACGAGCCAAAAGAGGACCTCACGCCGAGAGGTCCTCCAACAGAGGTCCTCACGCAGAGAGGTCCTCAGACACGGCGGAGTGGGATTGTCCGTTGCGCGCCGGTACGCCCTTCCCGTCGACACCCCCCCCCCCCCCCCCATGCGCGCGCAGAGAGGCGCTTCGTTCGCATTAGGATTAGCTGCAGCCCAATTAGTTCAGCACAACACCTGCGAGAGGTCCTCACGCTTGGCAAAGAGGTCGCTCATGGATGGCGCTCGTGGTTGCTCGTTGCGAGAGAGAGATTTTTAGCAATACCAAACAACTCTAACACTCACACGTAATTTGGGGCCTGGAGCCCTGTTTTGTTTTTCTCGTTGCGCGCCCCCCCTGACGCCGGCCCGCCCCGCGTCGCGACGGGGCCGGCATGCCCTTCCCGTCAAGACATCACTCCGTCCCGCCGGCAGATCGAGCAGCAGTGAATATACCATGCACAAGACTCAAGAGCCCCCCAAATGATATGTGAACGGGTTTGTGAGTACTCTGCAGTTAGTGTAGTAAGGGTAGCAAGTAATAATACATTACACACTCTGCCCAGGTGCAAGAGATTCCCTGCCACACCGTCGCTTTCAAGCCCTTTTATTTTCATTCACGATATACCTCACGTGCACGGAATGACGTGTGAGGGTTAGAGTTGTTTGTTATTGCTAAAAATCTCTCTCTCTTTCTTTCGGACGGGGCACCGTCTTCACTAGGGGCGGGGAAGCCGCGCTGTGTGGGCGCTTTCTCGGTAGTTTGGAGTCACTGAGCTCCGCCCGATGGACGAAACTTAGGGAGAAGAAAAACGTGCCTCGCCCCTGTTCACAGCGCCCGGTTTCTGTCGGCTCTCAGGTCGCAGCTGAGGCGAGCTCCGACTGCAGCTACGTGGTCTGGCGTGAGCTGCGCCGTTGCCGGCAACCCTTCCGCAACCGCCCCAACCCGGCCGCGCCTCCGCCTAGGCGAGCAGTATGTCCCGCCTCAACTACTTCAACACGCTCACCCAGGCGCAGAAGCTCAACCAGCTGGCGAGGCGCCGCTGCCCTCGCCACACTCCGCCCTGCTCGCAGCCCTGCTCGCCAGCCGGCCCGCAACCGCCGACGCCACGGCCGCGGCTCGTGGCCTCGCCGCCGCCGCCGCCGCTCTCGGCTCCTCCTTCCGGCCCACTGCCGCCGCCGACCTCGCCACGCCTCGCCGCTGACCGCTGCAGGTGCCGCTTCATGCAGCGGTCCGAGTTTGCGAACGGGGTGGCGGCGATCGCGGGGAAGAAGATCGTCATCGTCGGCTGCGGCGCGCAGGGCCTCAACCAGGGCCTCAACATGCGCGATTCGGGCTGCGACATCTCGTACACGCTGCGGCAGTCGGCGATCGACTCAAAGGCGCTGCCTCCCTCCTGGCCCTCGCCCCGCCGCCCGCGTGCAGCCGCCGCCCCTCGCCCGCCGCGCCGCCGTCCACGGCCGCCGCCCCGCTGCCCAGCGCCTCTCTGGGCCCGCCCCACCGGCCCTCGCCCTCACCCTTCGACCTTTTAAGCGCCATCCTCAGCCCGCTTCACCCCCGCACCGCCACGACACGACTCCTCAGCCTCCTCCACACCCCCCCGCGGCCCGCAGCGCTACTCCCCAGCGTCCTCCACCCCTCCCCACGCAGCGCGCCTCTTACGTCAACGCCACCTCCAACGGCTTCGCCGTCGGTACGTACGAGGAGCTCATCCCGCAGGCCGACGGATATTATTAATTAATTAGCATTATTAATTAATTAATTGATTGGGGACGTACGAGGAGCTCATCCCGCAGGCCGACTACTATTATTAATGCATTTAAATATTTTTTTATCGGGGGCGTACGAGGAGCTCATCCCGCAGGCCGACATGTCTTTGTCTCTGTCTCTGTCTCTCTCTCTCTCTCCCTCTCTCTCTCACTCACTCACTCTCTCTCTCTCTCTCTCCCTCTCCCTCTCTCTCTCCCTCTCTCTCTGACCCCGCAGGCGGACATGGTGCTCAACCTGACTAATATCATTAATTAACTATTAATTAATTATTAGTCAATTCTATCCCGCAGGCGGACATGGTGCTCAACCTTACGCCCGACAAGCAGCACACGTCCGTCGTCAACGCGGTGATGCCGCTGATGAAGGAGGGGGCGACTAAGATATTAATTAATATTATATTAATTAATGTTAATTAATAGGTGATGCCGCTGATGAAGGAGGGGGCGACGCTCGCGTACTCGCACGGCTTCAACATCGTCGAGGAGGCACGAGATACGGGGAGATATGGGGAGATACGGCGAGATGTTTCGCTTCTAGGGCACGAGATACGGGGAGATATGGGGAGATACGGCGAGATGTTTCGCTTCTAGGGCACGAGATACGGGGAGATACGGGGAGATGTTCCGCTTCTAGGGCACGAGATACGGGGAGATATGGGGAGATACGGGGAGATGTTCCGCTTCTTAGGGGATGCGAGTCCGGCCCGACCTCACCGTCATCATGGTTGCGCCAAAGTGCCCCGGCACGGAGGTGCGCGAAGAGTACAAGCGCGGGTTCGGCGCGCCGGCCCGCTCGTCGGCGGTGTACGCCCGCCGTGTGGACGGCGTCTCTTCACGGCCCTCCGGCTGTGAACAGGCGTGCCGACGCTCATCGCGGTGCACCCGGAGAATGATCCGCGAGGCGAAGGGCTCGAACTCGCCAAGGCGAGCGGAGATAGGGGGAGATATGGCGAGATATGGGGAGATATGATCCGCGAGGCGACGGGCTCGAGCTCGCCAAGGCGAACGGAGCATCTCGGCTGTGCCTCGGCTGTGCCTCGGCTTTATTTCGGCTTTATTTCGGCTATCCTTACACCTCGGCTGTACCTCGGCTGTACCTCGGCTTTATTTCGGCTTTATTTCGGCTTTCCTTACGCCTCGGCTGTACCTCGGCTGTACCTCGGCTACACCTCGGCCGTACCTCGGCCGTACCTCGGCTGTACCTCGGCCGTACCTCGGCTGTACCTCGGCTGTACCGCGGCTGTACCTCGGCCGTACCTCCGCCAGGCGTACGCAGCGGCGACGGGCGGAGACCGCGCCGGCGTGCTGGAGTCGTCTTTCGTCGCGGAGGTCAAGTCGGACGTGACGGGCGAGAGGAAGGGCCTAGCCTGGTTAATTAACGACGGGCGGCGTGATCGATTAGGTCAAGTCGGATCTGATGGGCGAGAAGAAGGGCCTACCCTAGTTAATTAACGACGGGCGGCGTGATCCATTAGGTCAAGTCGGATTCTGATGGGCGAGAAGAAGGGCCTACCCTAGTTAATTAACGACGGGCGGCGTGATCCATTAGGTCAAGTCGGATTCTGATGGGCGAGAAGAAGGGCCTACCCTAGTTAATTAACGACGGGCGGCGTGATCCATTAGGTCAAGTCGGATTCTGATGGGCGAGAAGAAGGGCCTACCCTAGTTAATTAACGACGGGCGGCGTGATCCATTAGGTCAAGTCGGATCTGATGGGCGAGCAGACAATCCTGTGCAGTATGCTGCAGACGGGCGCGGCCGCTTGACACGCTCCGCTATGGGTGGATGGGTCAACAGTTCAGTACGTCATTTCTCAGGCGCGGTGCTCTCGTTCGACAAGATGGGGGAGAACGGCATCGACCCGTCTTACGCCTACGCTGATTAATTAGTTGATCCTCCATCTCATCGATAATTGATTAATTAATTAGGCATCGACCCGTCTTACGCCTCTAAGCTGATCCAGTACGGGTGGGAGACGATCACAGAGGCAGCGAGATATGGGGAGATGTGGGGAGGTGTGGGGAGGTCCAGTACGGGTGGGAGACGATCACAGAGGCAGCGAGATATGGGGAGATGTGGGGAGGTGTGGGGAGGTCCAGTACGGGTGGGAGACGATCACAGAGGCAGCGAGATATGGGGAGATGTGGGGAGGTGTGGGGAGGTCCAGTACGGGTGGGAGACGATCACAGAGGCAGCGAGATATGGGGAGATGTGGGGAGGTGTGGGGAGGTCCAGTACGGGTGGGAGACGATCACAGAGGCAGCGAGATATGGGGAGATGTGGGGAGGTGTGGGGAGGTCCAGTACGGGTGGGAGACGATCACAGAGGCAGCGAGATGTGGGGAGATGTGGGGAGGTGTGGGGAGGTCCAGTACGGGTGGGAGACGATCACAGAGGCAGCGAGATGTGGGGAGATGTGGGGAGGTGTGGGGAGGTCCAGTACGGGTGGGAGACGATCACAGAGGCAGCGAGGATCACACCGATATCTGGGGAGCGCGGCATCGCGACGCAGCAGGACCGGCAACGACTCCCGCGATGTGTCTGCCTCCTCAGGCGCTCAAGCATGGAGGCATCACCGGCATGATTAATGAGTTAGCTCATTGAGACTGAATGAATCACTCAGGCGCTCAAGCATGGAGGCATCACCGGCATGATTAATGAGTTAGCTCATTGAGACTGAATTCACCACCCAGGCGCTCAAGCATGGAGGCATCGCCGGCATGATTAATGAGTTTGCTCATTGAGACTGAATGAATTACTCAGGCGCTCAAGCATGGAGGCATCACCGGCATGATGGACCGCCTCGACAACCCGAGCAAGATCAAGGCGGCGGAGCCTGCGAGCGAGCTCAAGCAGGCCAACCAGTTCGTTGATTGGTTCCTTGGCTCGTGGCTAGGCGGCGGAGCTTGCGAGCGAGCTCAAGGCGATCATGAAGCCGCTCTACGAGAAGCACCAGGACGACAACTCCCCTACCAACAGAGAACCGAACCCTCACCTCTCACCCCTCGCTCACCCCTCACCCCTCACCCCTCACCCCTCACCCCTCACCCCTCACCCCTCACCCTCACAATCCTCTAATTTTAAG